ACATTTTATTTTCTGTAACTGTAATCCATTTCATATGATACGACGTTTTTATCTACTTCATTTGCATGTACATCTGTGTGCTTATTCAATGAAAATGCAATAATTTGGCAGAATGGTCAATGGTGGGCAGCATAGGCTGACATGTCAACATGGGCAGGATGGATGGGGCTTATTCAAGAAGCATAAACATAACTTAATGCGGAAATTGTAATTTGTTAGTTTAAATTAAATTGCTGTTCTGTAAATTACTTTGTTACAGTCTCTCGCCATGTGGAATGGATGCGCTGTGATGAATTACGTGTTCTGTTTATATTCACCGTTGTGTCTGCAAGTGTGCATGCGGTGATTAACAGCACATCCTCGTATATGCATGTGCATGGCGTGCGTTTGGTGTGTGCCGAATAGGCTCTCACTCACAGCACTTGCCCCAACAGCCTATATGCGCTATATGGGGGATGTTTATCACTGTTCGGTGTGGCCGGCTACCAGCCTCTTCCAAGGGTGTCTTGTCTGGATTTTTAAGCAGGTCTCTTTTCTTTGGTTCTTTCGCTAAAGTCACGTAGATGAAAAATAAAAATAACAAAATGAAAATATCTACACTTAGTTGAAAATAACCAAATTTAGTTATTTTCATTTTATTATTTTTATTTTGAAAATAACTAAATTTAGTTATTTTCATTTTATTATTTTTATTATTATTATTTTTCCCATCTACGTATGGATCCTTGCAGTCACGAAAACTTCAAATCTAAGTCTTTTCTTTGATAACATTACCCGACCCACAGTGATTATTGTCTGTGTGTGTGCATGCATGTGTTTGGACACGTTCGTGTACCTACATTTGTTCGTGTGTGCGTGCTTGTATGAATGTGACGTTCTTCTGCACCGTACGTAGCCAGCCGTGCTAATCGGAGGTCTATACGTGTGTGGAGCGGTAGTGCGGTGGTTAGCACGCTACGAACCCGGCGACCCAGGTTCGATTCCCACTCGTGGCCAACACCAGTGACGATTATCTGCACTGGTTCTGGTCCTCCCCTAGGTCGACTCAGCCTCAAATGAGTGCGGTGTGTAAACATCGCCACTGGGGAGACAAAGGCGGCCGGGCGGGGTGCTGGCCACCCCACCCCCTCGTGTGCCCTGCGGGCCTTCATCGATGCTCGCAAACAGCACTTGCCCCTCCAGTCTGTTAAGCCCATAAGGGGGATCTTTGTCTTGTATATGTGTGTGGAGCGGTGAGCGCGCTGCACTCCGAACCCGGCGAACCCGCGTTCGATTTCCACTCGCAGCCAACACCAGTGACAATTATCTGAACCGCTCCTGGAGGTCGACTCAGCCTTAATGAGTACCTGGTACAGTGTGTAAACACCATCACTTGGGAGACAAAGGTGGCCAGGCATGGTGCTGGCCGCCCACCCCCCTCGTGTGCCATGCCCGCCCTCATAGGTGCTCGCTAACAGCACTTGCCCAAAAAGTCTGTTGAGCCTACATAGGGTATCTTTGTCTGTGTGCCCATTCTTTTCCATGGGCATTATAATCAGAATCTGCAACAGGCCTGGTGCAATAAATGTCAAAAGAATCAGGGGAGCGTCTGCGAATAATACCCGCATGTGACTTTAATGTCCTCTCTGAGCTCTCCCATGTCGCTAGCAGAGTCGGAGTCGTAAGAGCAATTATGTAGATTGCAACGCCATCGCACCATAATGTATTACGGTCCCATTAAGCTATTGACAAGCATCTCGGTCTGCGGCACGGGCTAGATTCACAGCACTTATAACATGTGCTTGCATAACCGTAGCCTGTTTGCTTTTCTCAGTGTCCCATACAACATATGCAGAATATGATTGTATAGTTGCGTGTATTCGTTTTTTTTATGGCAGCTCTTTTGTACTTTGCCGGTGAATACATTGTTTAAATTGTGTTTGTCCTTTAACAGAATTGCGATGATTGCATATTGAATCGCAATCAAATTCCTGCAGAGACAAGATTTAAGTGCACTTGCCATGCAAGCCAATTGGCTCGATTTCAAAAGTTTGATTCCTGTAGCTGATTGGTAATTTCTGCCAAGCATTACTATATCCTGCATTTCTCATATAAGAGGTGGACGTTAAACAGTATGGATAATAAGAAATGAAGAAATGAAATCAAAGGGTATATCGGTAAATGTAAATTCAGTTTATATGAAGACGGACAGTTAAGGGTCGTGGGTAGACACAAACAAAGTAATTACACTTATGTCATCTTGCCTTTACAAATAAAGGTACAGTGTGACAATATTTGCCAGTGCTGTAATAGAAAGCCTCTGACACTCTCACTTGGCTGGTAAAGTTATTTGTTTATTGGTTCCAAGTTTCACATTTAAAATTTCAATAAAGTTTGTTTAAAAGGAAGCCTACAAGAGCACACATCCATCATTGTGCTCATTAAAGCACCACGTGGAGCGAAAGAGTACACAAGGTAGTCGATGTTGTGGCCAACACTCATTCGTTTGCTGTGTTTGATGCACGTGGTTGATATGCTTTCCAACAGATGTGTGTGTGGAGGCTAGTGTGAAAGAACTGCAGGGAACAGTGAGTGACGTAACTTTGAACATGAAAACCAGTGCTATCCACAGACATGATATTATCTTCATGATGCACTGTGCACAAGTAGTTAGTGGAGTTATCTCGCGGCGCAATAATAGCGACTTCGTTTTAAAATCTCGTTTTACACGAGAGGAGGAGCCACTGCGAAGATAAGCATCCCCAACTTTTGTTGAAGTGGTGGTAAAAGCCAGCAATTATAGGCTCATTGGAAAACGTAAATGGATAATAGCCGAATAAAGTGGCTTGTTCAGCCAATGATGAAATGGGTAAGAAGACATTTCTGACTCCTCAGTAAGTAACAGGCATACTCGCTGTTTGAATAGGACTATCCAGCATTAGCAAAATAAAGTAATAGTTCCCAACCCTTTGTCAATCCTCTGCTGGATGAAAGCCTCGCGTCGTGTTGATTGTGAAGGTGTTTTGGTCTCTGTAGGTTGGTGAAGGGTGGCCTCATAAGGGCCTGTTCAGGTTTCACTCTCTACGGTTGTTGGCCATGGCCATAAATTGAACTTAGGCGAACCTGGGTTCACTGTACCGTGTGCTAACAACCGTGGCAAAAGCTCCACCGCTGTTTTGTGTTTATGTGCATTTGCTTTGTTGGCTAACTGCACTAAATGCAGAAACGGTTGACCTGAGCTCCCCACGTCCAATTGTCCGCTGACCCTTGAGGTTGGATGCGAGAAGTTGAGTGAAACGTGTGCGCCTCCGTGAGTGACGGCGTCGCGGTTACAGAGCCTCTTGGTGTCATTAACGGCTGCCGTGTGCTCCTGACCTTCAGCCTGAATGTCGGCACGCGGTACCAGACTGTGCACGCACACTGCACGCACACTGCATGCACACGAGACAATTATCCCGCCCGCCCGGTTTGTTCGTACGTTCCTACACAGCGATTCGATGAATTGTCATGATTTTGGGTCATGGTGTTGATTCAAGCATCTCTTATTCCACTCCCTTTGTATGGCTTCATATATTTTTGTATGGTTCATTGGTACTACAGTTGTGTTCGCCGCCTGAGCCTAATGTGATGTTGTGTCATTTGCATGTAATTTGCATGACGTGTACATACATCAACACGCGTGGTTCAGAGCGTGCAAATGACAATAATGTTCAGCTCCTTTGGTCAATCTGCTGCTGGATGAGGGCCACATGCCATTTCAGTCATGGGGGTTGTCTGACCATACTTCATGACACTGCACAGTTTGAATTGGTGAAAGGTTGGGCCCAGGACCGGTTTAGATGGCACTTGCCACTGATGTTAACCGCGGTCGCCTGGTTAAACGCACATGACACGAACCGCGGTGCCACCACTCCTCCCTGCAGTCATCTGGAGATCTATATATACATCATATGTTGATGTATATTTCTATATGATTGTGTATTATGATGTATATGGTCTCGTTAGAGATCCACGTGTGTTAATGCATGAACTCAGCCAGAACAAAAAAAAACCCTCAATCACATGCACACACATCCCCATCCACAAAAACACAATTTTATTTTTTACTTAATCACTATATAGTTTCGTGTTTGAAAATGTTTTATAATTAGCAATATTTTAGAGCTTAGAAAAAAATAAATGTAATTCCTACTTAAAAGAAACAACATTTGGCAGCAGTCTAGACATTTCACCCCCGTTTTTTTTACTAAATCTCAAGTTGGTGGTAATTGATTTTTCTCTCTTAGCGTAAAGCACATTCATTCTCTGCTTCTGACGTGTCCTATATCATGTCAGATCCATACGGCTGCAGGAGTTTGAAGGAGATGGAGTGTGGGAATTGACTACATTTTACAGCACTTGTGCAAGTTCTGTGATATAATTATAGAAGTCATTGCAGTATAACCCGGCACTTAAATTTTATCTCAAAAATTTGCCAGGACCTTCCTCGTCACTTACAGAAGGGGTGAGGGAACTTTTTTTCTGCCAACGGCCATTTGGATATTTATAACATCATTCGCGGGCCATACAAAATTATCAACTTAAAAATTAGCCTGTTATATTTGGTCAAACATTTAATTAACTCACCCCTAATGTGATGGCTGGAACTGCTTCTCTTTGGTGAGGCGTGTGATGTTAGCTGGTATTGATGATTTTGCTACTCCATTGGAACCTATTTTTGCCAGTAAAAAATATGATAATTGGTTTTTTACCCTTCTATCTGGCAACAAAACTGACACTTTTTTTTACAAGGAGTCATGTTTGCATAGACCACAATACCTGCAGTCATAATGCAAACAAAAAACATGACTCTAAAAAAACAATTATCGATGTTGCTACTCGCAACTGCTTTTCCAGGTTTGCTCCTAGATTTCTTGAATTTCAAGTCCCGCCTGTGGTTGCCTTGGCAGGGCCAGACCCAAATGATTTCGCGGGCCTTATACGGCCCGCGGGCCGGACGTTCCCCACCCATAACTTACAGCAAAGTCCACCAAAGGGGTTCATAGTCTGTCCATCAAAGTGCTCGATTACCTTTGTTCACGTTTAAGTTATTCTGCCGCGCTTGCTGTGTGACAGCTTTTCTTTTGTTGCACACCAGTGCCTCTGTAGCAACACGTACAACGTGGGCGGCCCCCTCGCATGTCGAGGAGGGGGCGGCCTGGGACCCCACCACCCCCTGCTAAACACTCAGCCCCCCACCCACACTTGTAAATGCTTATAGCCAAGTCACGTTTATGGTAGTAATACCATACTCATAATGGCGATGATAGTTGGTAATGATTATCGTGATGTTGCCAAATTTGCTCCGTTTAGCACGGTTGGTTACGTATGGTGCGAAAGAAGTTCAACACACGTACATGTGTGCCCGGACCCTACAGAGCCAACCATGTCAATCGGGTGTGTGGGGGAACGACAACAAACTAAACACAAAAAGCAGTTTTAAAGAAATTAGTTTTCAGTATTGGTGATGGTATTAATGTGGTAGTGATGATGGTGAGGATATTATAATACCCCTCGTCTAGAATTATAATAATTATTGTGGTGGTGGTGAGGAATTAGTGATATTTTGATTGTCGCACCCCTCACCCCACCCTCTTGACAAGCGTGGCGACGCCGGAGGGTTGGACGTGGAGTCATGTCCGTGGCTGTATGTGGTTAACGTAACCCCGAAGCCGGATGTTTGTACAAAATAAGCCTTGAAAATATCCACTGACTCCACGCTAGAGGTGCGCTCTGGGTGTGCAAACCCTGTCGTTGGGGGCCGTCCATAAATGACGTCACGCACCTAGGGGAGGGGGGGGGCAGACATTTGTGACGATGTGTGACAAGGGGGGGGGGGGGTTGAAATGTGACGTCACATCAAAATGCGCAACTTTACATATAGACAACACGTTTTACTTAATTAAATAGACTTTTTAATAAATGTTTTCTCCTACAACATCAGAGTGCAGCGGCACATTAAATACGCACTACAATGACAATAGTTTAAAGCGATTTGAAGCATGTTTTATCTTCTTTTGGGGGGGGGGGCAGAGCCTTTGTGACGTCATATATGAGGGATGGGGGGTCTGACTTTTTGTGACGCCGTGTGACGAGGGGGGGGGGGGGTGAAAAATCGTCCAAAATCGCGTGACGTCATTTATGGACGGCCCCTTGGTTACAGTCACGGCTGTGGCTGTCTTGAGTTTGTCTGATTGCGTGTACGCGCGCGTGTACTTGCCATTAGTTTAGGTTCAAGTACAGGTACTGTAGTCTGTGAGCATATGTGCAGAACAGTTAATGATTAACTGAACGACAGTTACTTTGACCTGGGTTGGGTTAATCGCCACGTGAAAAGACCCCTCCCCTCCTCCCCCGTGGGATTTTATTTTTACCTTAACTTGACTTGGGACTTTCCTAGGTTTATTAAGTCTTTAACAAGTTACCTGCTGCAGTGCAGTGTGTACACCTACTTATTATGCGTTCTCTAACAGTACTTGCCCTGACGGTTTATGTGGGTCACGGCAAATATTTGATTAGACTACAAAGCACGATAAAAAGCAGAACAGGAAGCCCCATCATGCTTTGCATGGCAAAATGAACGCAACATTCCAGCGTATATCCTGCACATGGCCCATGCTGACAACCAGATCGGGGAGCTAATGGCACGGCTGTTGTTATTTTTGGACTACTTGGCAACTGTATCCTGGTTTCATCCTGATTCAGGCTCATCAGTAGAATGTTTCCATCTTTGCCTGCTGCTGCCATTTATGCCCAAAGGTTTTGCCCTTAGCGGAAACAAATGTGGTCAATGCAGACATGATTCCTTGCAAAAGGTTTCAGTTTGGTGATTTAACATCTTAACACCTGTTGTATTGATACTGGCAAAATAGGTTTTTAATTTATGTTAAAGGTGGGGGGGGAGAGGGGGGAGTGGACCCAGGATCTTCCATGGAAACATCGTAAGTCTTTAAAACCCAAGAAAGCTAGCAGCCAAGTGAATAAAATATGTTCGTAATCTGAGCCGCGTGCCACCCTAACCTGACAGATGAGCCCCATCCACCGCGTGCTCCGTGGCCCAATGGTGTCGCGGTTTCGCTAACGAACCAGACGGAGATCGCCGTGACAACGCCGCTCTGTGGGCGTAGGGCGCGGTGTAGGGCGAGATGGGTCACACGGGGAGTGTGCGCGGTTGGGTGGTGGTGGTGGTGGTCGTGGGGGTGGTGCAACACAATGCTCAGGTGGGCAAGGTGCAGAGTTCTGAAAGAGCGCGTGTTCAGGCGTGAGTGCGTGCGCGCTCACAAACTCCCCCTTCCTCCACATGTCCTTGCACCATCTTCCATTCCTCCTACACCTCCCGTCGCCTGCCCTCTCTCTCTCTCTTACCACTTCCTCCTACGTTCCTGTCCCTTCACCATTCCTCCATTACCCCCCCCCCTCCGACTTTCCCTCCCACCCTGTTCCACATCCCCGGCCCTTTCCATTATTCAACACAAGACAAAGAACCCCTGTATAGCCTTAACAGACTTTTTGGGCAAGTGCTGTGAGCGAGCACCTATGATGACGAATACCGGCATGGCTCACCAGGCGGTACCTGGCCAAGCACCACGCCCGCGCGTATTTGTCTCCCGAGCGATGATGTTTACACACGGCACCAGGTACTCATTTGAGGCCGAGTCGACCTCGGGGAGGCCCAGAACCGGTTTAGGTCATCGTCACTGGCGTTGGCCGTGAGCGGGAAACGAACTTGGCTCACCGCAACGCTGTCACTCTCCCACACTTTGTTCAGCACGCGTATGTACAAAGGTGCATTCACACACATACCAACACCCGCCATTCGCCACGGTGGCGTCTTCACGGCGCCTGTGCCAGGCCAGGTGCACTTCGAGGCCAGAGTGGGGGTGTCGAAGGCTCGCTGCTGACAGGTCTCTGGAACAGACCCAGGCAGGTGCCATGAGTTGACCGACTTGAGATGACCGGTAGATGCACCACCGGCTCTACCCCACTAGCATGTCAACACACGCACACGTGCACAGACACGCAACGCGCACACACATCCGTGTAATCACATACGCCACGAACACAATACACGCTGCACATACGCGCACGGTGCTTCCAAACTCCGCCAGCTTCCACCAAACCCTCCCTTCCATTGAACTGCGCTGAGCGTTTGGTGTTGGTGGGAATCTGTGCCCTGGCTGCCCAGCCACACGCACATTGTGTCTGCGAAAGAAAAGAAACGATGGAGGAGAGGATTAGCAGAGAGGGAGAAAGGCTTCGGGGGAGTGGGTAGGGCCAGGGGAGGGGGGGAGTTTATCTAGTTAAGAAATGTTAAAGTGGTGGTGGTGGTTTGGGGCTGGGTGGGGAGAGATGTGGTGGTGGGCCACGGAGAGGGTTGTGCCTGGAGGCGGAGCCCTCCTGTGGCGCTTTGCCGAGTGACCCCCGAGCGTGCGTGCGATCCTGAGCGAGCGTTACCGGGCCGCTTTCTCTCGTCTGCCTTGTTTTTGGCTCCAGCCCGCTTCGAATTCTGTGAGTGAACGCGGCGGATTGTGTGTCTGCGTGCGTCTGTGTAGTCGTGATGATGATGATGGTGGTATACTACAGTACTTCTGTTGGAAAAGACGTGCGTGAAAATTTTAAATGGGAGGAGAGGGATGCCGTTTTGGAATGAGATTGTTGGCTGGAGCGACGCGGGGTGGGGTGGGGGGGAGAGAGGCACACAGGTAGAGAGGGGCGGAGGTAGTGAGATGGAGGATCACGCGTACTGAAAGCAGCAGCAGCACAAGGACACGCTTGTGTAGAAGGGCACAGATATTTAAACATGCAGCGGAGGACAAGCATACATGTAGACACGGACAGGAAGAGAAAAAGCCGGACTGGGGGGGACAGAAAGACACGGAGAGGTGTGCACAGAGGCAGGGGGAGTCATAGGACCTTGGCCAAGTGCGTTTTGAATATCCAAATGCCATCATGGCTGCAATGGCCTTTTGTGACTGCAGGTGAAAGACAACGGTGAGAGAGGCGAGGCGAGGGGGAGGGGGCGAAGGAGTGAGGTAGGAGAGTTGGGATTTGGACAAAAAAAACACAGCGAGTGATATATGCCGAGTAATTTCTGACAGTGTCTGATTTTATCTTTGCTGAGATGGATACCGTGCATGTGCTGGAAATGTGTTCCTTCTGTTTGATATTGTCATAGCTGGGTTGGTCGTCCTGTGGCATCCGTTAATTTGAACGCTCGGGTTCAAAGTCCACTTCACTGCTCACCGTCTGCAGACACTATCAGTCATCCCGTTTTCTTATAAATGACACTCGTGTGTGTCACGGTATTGCTTTGGTGTTGCATCATTAATCTACCTGCAGAAGTCATAATTACTCTGCAGTTGCAGCCAATATTAAATGTGTTATTTATTCTGGGTGTCACCAGGCTTAATTGTAACCACCTTTCACAATGATTAGGATCCCCATATGTACTCATTTGGTTCTTTCGGTAAAGTCACGTATAAATTAAATACTAGCATACGACGTTTCGATTGCAAAACAAGCAATCATCATCAGGTATAAATGAAATAGAAACACAAATCTAGTATACTTAGAAATGTAATGTAATACAACAGAGAGTCGGATAACATAACAGTCAACACTCTACCTGGTTGATTACGTTCTTCCTGAGAATGCTAAATTTGAGAGAGAGATAAAACACAGAACCAGAGACATATAGACAGACATATAAGCAGACAGATATCACAGAGATACATAGAGAGAGACAAACATAGGCACGCAGAGAAACCACGCCTCTGTGTCGAGGCCTTAAATTACGTGAATCGTTATTACGTGAATCATGACCATCCACTGATTTTTGAAGATGATGCCAGTATTCATGGTGCTGTAATATTCATAATGCAAACATAGGATAATTCGACAAATATTTTACATCTGCCAGAATAAAGTAATAGCTGGATGGTTGTGACCTCTTGGAAATCAAGCAATTAAAAAGGATCAATATAAACAGCAACATTGACCACAACTGGCCAAGAATGGGCCAATGTGGATCCATGTTTATTTATTTACTGGCTAAAGATAAACTGTAAAACTGTTGGCCTAAAGATAACCATGATTCTTCAAATGAGGGCCGCTTTTTTAACGAAAAGTATATGACAGTTTAATGCCCAAACGATTTCATTTATAATGAGGCTGTGGTGTGCTTTCACTGTACAGATATAACACAAAATATGGTGACATTTTAATGCTGTGATTGTTGGCTTCACCACGAGTTTTGAAAATACTTATTTGACGTCATACAGGTATTGTCAAAAAGTTGTGAAAACTGACATTTTTGAAAGTATACACGCCCACCACAATGACCGCACCTGTATTTAATTTTTCAGTTTTCTAACCTTGTTGATGTCACTGTGAACAGCGTTGGCTAAAAAATGTAACCTTGTCCTATTCCCAATACGTATATTGCTACTATATTCATGTAATATCAATGTAGCGGTTCAATATTTATCAATGTGTTGTATTATTTCCAATTTTTATTTCATTTTACCCGCGCTTCATGAACGCTTGGATGACTGCATTAAACTCCACTGAGTCCAATGGCTTTTCATGTTCGACAAATAACAGGCACAAATGGTATTTAAAATGAATTAGACTTTTCCAAATCCAATTGATTCGAAAAATGAAGGCGTGAATATGAATGGAGAAAATGTTAACGAACTCAGATGTTGCTGACATAACATGTTAACGGTGTCTGATTTGCTGACGACACTGTACAAAGAGAATTAACTACAGGAGAAGTTCAAACTTAAAAACAAGTCTTGCAAAGCATGGCTCAGGACAAATGTGAACAAACTTAATGTAAAACAAGTTGACTAAAGAATTGAAGGTATCTATCAGAGGGATATAAATAGAGAACCGGGTAGAATGGACGGTTATTGAAGTCGGCCTGGGATTATAATGCCTGTAATAAAATAAAGTGAATGGGAGCAAGTTCCATTTTAAAAACGGAACAAAGCATTGAAAAGCACGAGGAAAGTGTTAATCCGTGCATATCACCAGCTTTGATTTATCGTTCAGATCAGGGACACTGGCAGAAAAAATGGAACATCAACTGAAAGGTGCACAAAGATGAATGGAGCGGTACATGCTTAGAATTACATATAGAGGAAAAGGAACCCATAGATTAGAGAACAAATGAAAGTTAGAGCTGTAATATTACCTGGTAAGAACAATTGAAAGAGGTCGCCCTTCCCATTGTTGGCTCAGGAGAGATTTAATCTGTCTTATGATTCGGAAGCTGAACTGACGGTAGGAATTTCCCCATGATGTTGTTAGGGCTTCCAGGAAGAAACTCCTACAGGAGTTGGTTGGAGTACCGTGTCAGGGTTCTCTATCCAGGAACTCCAGCCCTGGAGACCTCATGGTTGCCCATTGTTGACTACACAGCTGAAGATACTGTACTTCCTGATCTGTAAACAATTGGAGAAAATTTATCTGATGGACTGGTTGGAGCCTTGCCATAGGTGGAGGTTGCGTGCTTTACTTTTCCGGAACCGGACATCAGCCATGGATGGACTGGTTACTCTGTGTTATCTGGTGGCGGCAGTAGAATTGGCTCCGAGTGCACCATGCAGAATGAGGCAGATGTAGTGATGTCTGCTGACGCAGTGGACTCTGGACCTGGGGTAATATCCGGACCAGGGTATGGCTGAGCCATTGTGCTCAGCAGGAATTGCATTTGAGGCTGATGGAGTCCATATTCCTCAAGGGCATTCATTTGGCAAATGTATCCCTGGATGTTTTCATGTAGTCCAACATTGCTAACTTAATTTTGCCATGAAAGAAGAAGATTGCCTTGAAACTACTCGCAATATTGCCTATCCCTTGAATAATTGCAGCAAAAGGATAACAGGGAAGAGAGTTGTAGCTCACTATGATAGCACCGCTCTTGCTAAGTTGCCACTGTGGCCTTATTGTAGAGTTGAGGAAATTCTTTTCCGGGCTCGAGGCCAATGCTTGGCCTCGATGATATTTCTCAGAGCTTGTGCTTAGCCTCAGGGGTGTGGCCTCGATCTGAGCACTTTGTCTAGAGGATCCAGCCTCGACAGGCCAAAGCCTAGAGGATCTGGACCTTACAACTAGCGTCTTAAAAGGCTTCCAGGTTCAGCCTTGGTCCCGGCGGTCCTGGTCTTGAGTTCAAAGACGGAAAGACACTGGGGATGGCGGTGCACTTAGCCGGGATGCACACTGCAGTGAGCGATTGCCTGAGCACATGGTGGCGCAATCCGGTTGAGTGGGCCCTGAGCGAAGAAGTCTTCGAATGGATGGCACAGCCGATACTTGACATTTTGTAGGATATTAACAGTCGAGAGAACTACATTTTATAATGTCTGAAAACCCAATATGTGAGAAGTATGTTTATGTACTTGATTGATGGTTTTTTATGCTAATGTATTTAATATACATTGCATTCTGTAATTCTTCACTCCCTGGTGAGTTGATTTATCACGATTCAGAGCCAGGATTCAATTCAAGAGTAGATTGTAACACTATGTAACAATTTTTGTTCCTGGGTAGTAAGTGTTATTTCGTAATTTCCTATGCCTAAAAAGTATAGAAAAAGGCTTATTCCCCACAAACTTTGATTTTGTGACCAGGACAGTGATAGTTGAAATGTACCTATTTTCAATGAGAAAACAGGCGAATTTGTGTCTTTTCTTTCACATTAAGTCAGAAAAAAAAACATATGAATCAAAATTTACATTATTTATACTGAAGTAATACAAAAATTACTACAAAAAATTTAGAAGTGAGTAGTTTTTCGAGATTTACTATTATACTGTAAATCGCTTTCACGAATCAGCCCCGAAATGTAGTCTCCCATCATATTCTCATTATACTGTCCTTGATAGCGGCGTTCAAAGTCCAGTATATCCTGGTGGAAGCGCTCGCCTTGCTCCTCCGAGTACGCTCCCATGTTCTCTTTGAATTTATCAGGATGAGCATCAAGGATATGGACTTTGAGGGACATCCTACAGCCCATTGTGCCGTAGTTCTTCACTCGAGTCTCAACCAGCTCCACATAGTTTTCGACCTTGTGATTGTCCAGGAAGCCACGAACCACTGCGACAAAGCTGTTCCAAGTCCTTACTAGTGAGCTTCTTGGGGAATTAATTGCACTCCAGGATCTCCTTTATCTGTGGTCCGACGAAGACACCGGCTTTGTCCTTTGTCTAAGACAGCTTAGGGAAGAAGTCTTGAAGGTACTTGAAGGCTACCGACCCCTTATTACAGTTCTGACAAATTGTTTCATAAAGCCCAATTTTATATGCGGTGGTGGCATCAGCACCTTCCGGGGGTCCACCAGTGGCTCCCACTTGACGGTGTTCCTACCCACAGAGAACTCGGTCCGTTGTGGCCAGTCCTGCCTGTTGTAGTGTGCCTTTGTGTCCCTGCTGTCCCAAAGGCAAAGATAGCAGGGAAACTTGGTAAAACCACTTTGGAGACCCATCAGGAATGCCACCATTTTGAAATCTCCGATGACCTCCTAGCCATACTCATACTTCAAGGCGTTCGATCTTGTCTTGATAAATTGGCAAAATGTGTCTACCGG